TTGATGTGTTGGACTGACTGACTGACCTGTTGATGTGTTGGACTGACTGACCGACCTGTTGATGTGTTGGACTGACTGACTGACCTGTTGATGTGTTGGACTGACTGACTGACCTGTTGATGTGTTGGACTGACTGACTGACCTGTTGATGTGTTGGACTGACTGACTGACCTGTTGATGTGTTGGACTGACTGACCTGTTGATGTGTTGGACTGACTGACTGACCTGTTGATGTGTTGGACTGACTGACCTGTTGATGTGTTGGAGTGACCGACCTGTTGATGTGTTGGACTGACTGACTGACCTGTTGATGTGTTGGACTGACTGACCTGTTGATGTGTTGGACTGACTGACCTGTTGATGTGTTGGACTGACTGACTGACCTGTTGATGTGTTGGACTGACTGACTGACCTGTTGATGTGTTGGACTGACTGACCTGTTGATGTGTTGACTGACTGACCTGTTGATATGTTGGACTGACTGACCTGTTGATGTGTTGGACTGACTGACTGACCTGTTGATGTGTTGGACTGACTGACTGACCTGTTGATGTGTTGGACTGACTGACTGACCTGTTGATGTGTTGGACTGACTGACTGACCTGTTGATGTGTTGGACTGACTGACTGACCTGTTGATGTGTTGGACTGACTGACTGACCTGTTGATGTGTTGGACTGACTGACTGACCTGTTGTGTTGACTGACTGACTGACCTGTTGATGTGTTGGACTGACTGACCTGTTGATGTGTTGGACTGACTGACTGACCTGTTGATGTGTTGGACTGACTGACTGACCTGTTGATGTGTTGGACTGACTGACTGACCTGTTGATGTGTTGGACTGACTGACCTGTTGATGTGTTGGACTGACTGACTGACCTGTTGTGTTGACTGACTGACTGACCTGTTGATGTGTTGGACTGACTGACCTGTTGATGTGTTGGACTGACTGACTGACCTGTTGATGTGTTGGACTGACTGACCTGTTGATGTGTTGGACTGACTGACTGACCTGTTGATGTGTTGGACTGACTGACTGACCTGTTGATGTGTTGGACTGACTGACTGACCTGTTGATGTGTTGGACTGACTGACCTGTTGATGTGTTGGACTGACTGACTGACCTGTTGTGTTGACTGACTGACTGACCTGTTGATGTGTTGGACTGACTGACTGACCTGTTGATGTGTTGGACTGACTGACCTGTTGTGTCGGACTGACTGACCTGTTGATGTGTTGGACTGACTGACTGACCTGTTGATGTGTTGGACTGACTGACTGACCTGTTGATGTGTTGGACTGACTGACCTGTTGATGTGTTGGACTGACTGACTGACCTGTTGTGTTGACTGACTGACTGACCTGTTGATGTGTTGGACTGACTGACCTGTTGATGTGTTGGACTGACTGACTGACCTGTTGATGTGTTGGACTGACTGACCTGTTGATGTGTTGGACTGACTGACTGACCTGTTGATGTGTTGGACTGACTGACCTGTTGATGTGTTGGACTGACTGACTGACCTGTTGTGTTGACTGACTGACTGACCTGTTGATGTGTTGGACTGACTGACCTGTTGATGTGTTGGACTGACTGACTGACCTGTTGATGTGTTGGACTGACTGACCTGTTGATGTGTTGGACTGACTGACTGACCTGTTGATGTGTTGGACTGACTGACTGACCTGTTGATGTGTTGGACTGACTGACTGACCTGTTGATGTGTTGGACTGACTGACCTGTTGATGTGTTGGACTGACTGACTGACCTGTTGTGTTGACTGACTGACTGACCTGTTGATGTGTTGGACTGACTGACTGACCTGTTGATGTGTTGGACTGACTGACCTGTTGTGTTGGACTGACTGACCTGTTGATGTGTTGGACTGACTGACCTGTTGATGTGTTGGACTGACTGACTGACCTGTTGATGTGTTGGACTGATTGACCTGTTGATGTGTTGGACTGAATGACTGACCTGTTGATTTGTTGGACTGACTGACCTGTTGATGTATTGGACTGACTGACTGACCTGTTGATGTGTTGGACTGACTGACCTTTTGATGTGTTGGACTGACTGACTGACCTGTTGATGTGTTGGACTGACTGACCTGTTGATGTGTTGGACTGTTTGACTGACCTGTTGAAGTGTTGGACTGACTGACCTGTTGATGTGTTGGACTGACTGACCTGTTGTGTTGGACTGACTGACTGACCTGTTGATGTGTTGGACTGACTGACTGACCTTTTGATGTGTTGGACTGAGTGACTGACCTGTTGATGTGTTGGACTGACTGACCTGTTGTGTTGGACTGACTGACCTGTTGATGTGTTGGACTGACTGACTGACCTTTTGATGTGTTGGACTGACTGACTGACCTGTTGATGTGTTGGACTGACTGACCTGTTGTGTTGGACTGACTGACTGACCTGTTGATGTGTTGGACTGACTGACTGACCTGTTGATGTGTTGGACTGAGTGACTGACCTGTTGATGTGTTGGACTGACTGACCTGTTGATGTGTTGGACTGACTGACCTGTTGATGTGTTGGACTGACTGACCTGTTGAAGTGTTGGACTGACTGACTGACCTGTTGATGTGTTGGACTGACTGACCTGTTGATGTGTTGACTGACTGACTGACCTGTTGATGTGTTGGACTGACTGACCTGTTGATGTGTTGGACTGACTGACCTGTTGATGTGTTGGACTGACTGACCTGTTGATGTGTTGGACTGACTGACCTGTTGATGTGTTGGACTGATTGACCTGTTGATGTGCCAGTTCATCCGCCTTAAGTCCTGGCTTGTAAAAATAAATCAACTTCCGGTAGCCTGGAAAAATTCAGTTAACGAATTTACGGTCTAGTGAGTGCTGGGTACCGACCTACCCTCCCCACCTCCCCCGCGAGCCTCTTGGTGCCACCCCTATCTCCCCCCTCTCGCTAACATAACAGTCGTGTTTTCATCGAACCATGATTTAACACAGGGGTGGAGGTTTAGGGAGAGGCTGGTCCTGGGGAGGCATTGAGAAGTTGTAAACAAGTTTAACTCAAAACGTATTCGGATATATTCGTTACTTGCTTTATTCGATACTTGTCTCCCCCACACCCTCACACCCTCACACTCGCCTCCCCACCCCAACATACCCCCCCCCCCCCCCCACCCCCTAATTCCCTAGACTGGACCAAGAAAACCCAACCTTCTCCTGGAGACCGTGTTTTATCGATCGCCTCCCAACACGCCCGTCCTGTTTGTTGTTTTACAACTAAATCTGTTTTCTTCATTCATAAGTTTGGCTTCAGTTTAATTTAATATCGTCTCAATCTTCTGTCCGTTTGCAATTTCACAACCTAATTTATTTACTTCATTATTTCCGTCCGTTGTTTTACGGACACATTTATTTGCTTCATTTATAAATTTAAACGAACCGTTTACTTTTTGACTACGTGTATAGATGTGACACAGTAGCTGTGATGTTTTAGAAAACCTCTGTCGTTTGTTTCAGCATGGATGTCATTTATGCGGAGTGCTACAGTTATGTCATATGTCATTCATAAAGCTCGGTTACCTCATTAGTGGATCAATTAAATTTTCAAAGTTAGCAAAAAAAAAAGTGATTTAACTGTGACTAAATGTGACAAACAAGGGCCAAAAATTGACATTAAGGTGAAAAGATTTGACGATAAAAGTACAAAATATGACCAAAATGTTACTTGAATTGACTTAACCTCGTCTGAGGGATTTTAATATGCTGGTTGTTTAAAATATATAACTTTTTAAATATGTTACCTTTAAAATATATATTTCCTTTAAATATATATTACCTTTAAAATATATATATATATATAACATTTAAAATATATATAACCTTTAATATATATATAACCTTTAAAATATATATAAACTTTAACATAAATAACTTTAACATAAATAAACTTTACAATATATAAACTTTACCATATATAAACTTTAACATAAATAAACTTAAATAAATATATAAACTTTAAAATATATAGCTTTTAAAATATACAACCTTTAAAACCTATAAGAATAGCATTATTGGATAGATATTTTTGTTTGCATTGCAATATCCTTTTAAATCAAGTGGGGTATATTTTCACTTTCAAATAAATACTGCCTAACAAAAACAATTAAAAATAATAGGCTTACTACGTCTATTCTAGTTTATAGGTGATTTCAAAGTAGTCCGATCTAGTTTAGATATAACATTTATTTTCATTTTATCTGTGGTAACGATATGACGATACATATAAATCAAGATCTAGATGTATGGGATTATATGTATAAAAATATAAAAAATTAAATTTTGAAATATACGTTTTGGAATAGCCTATTATACCAGTGGACCGTATTATATACTTGATTGAATTTTTATTGGCTGTATAATTTAGATATATCTGGTACCGTTTATTGCAGATTCCTTAGAATTATTTTTTGTCCCGTTTATGTATCAAGTCTGAGGTTTTTTTTTTAAACTACACATCTGAACACAACACGGTGTAGCATAGCACAACACAAGATAGCTGAACACAACACTAACACAACAAAACGCAACATAACACAACACTATACAACTGAACACAATACAACATAACACAGCACAATATAGCACAACACAGCAAAACATAACACTACACGAATTACAACAAAGTTTACTCCGACCTATTAAACCAAGTGTTACCACTTCGCACGTTTTTAATATTTTACAATCACCCCGCATCGACCGTCTATTTGTCGTTTCTATTTTAAGTCGCGTTTAGACAACGGGATAAAAAACATTTACAAATCGTAAACAATTTACCCCACAAATAGAGGGGAGAGGCAGAAGAAAACCTCCCCAAAAATATGTGGAATTTCAATGTGTACATGAAATAAAATAAATTTGGCCAGAAATCGGATCATTGTTCTGGCAACCCGCGCGCGCTGCACATCGTTCTCGTCTGGTCCTCGCTTTCTGCAGGTAAATCTACGACCTAACTGTACCTCACCAAACTACGTGAGCTGTTATTTTTTTTTGTATACACGCGCTCGCACGCGCATTTATTGAGTCGCTCACTCAACCGCCTTCCCTCCCCCTCCCCCTGCTCGAAGGTAGGTCTGTAGCTCACCTAAGGTCGCGCGCGAGTGTGTTCCTTGCTGGATATGCCCGTGTTTCTCTCAAGTATTCGCCACTCTTCTCCTCGCTAGCTTATATTGTCTAAACAACAGCAGCATCGCCATTGTGGGTGAGTAGAGTTATCGTTGTTTAAAATACTTCGTGTTCTCGAATTTTCTATTGTTTTTTATGAAGATATTAACTGGCAAGTTATGGCTGGGTTGGTAGTGAAAAATGTCAAAACTAGGCGTGAGTGATTTAGTCATGTGATGTTTGTTATTGAACTCTGGTTCCTGTGGGGGATCGATTATGACCCAGTTTGATATGTTAGGGTTGGTGTGAAGTAGGGTAGGGGGGTGGGTAAAATATGTGAGTGGTGTATGCGTGTGTAGGGTAGTGTTGATCTTATGTTACACACGTTTGTTGTAAGAAAACACGCATGTGCTGGTGTATGTTGTTATGTTAGAGTTCTTGTGGCCAATTAGTCCAGTTCTCCGTAGACTACAGGTACAATATATAGGCTATTAGCTTGTTCATAGATGTCTCTCCAAAGTGTAAATTCTCTCTTGTATTTGTCTTGTTCTCACACTACCTGTCTGTAGCTTGCCTGTAGCTTTCTACCTGTAGATTCTTGTCTGTAGCTTCCTGCCTGTATGTTGCCTGCCTGTAACCTACATGTAGATGCTGTCTGTAGCTTGCCTGTATGTTGCCTGTCTGTAACCTGCGTGTAGCCAGCGTGCCTGTAGCTTGCCTGCGTGTAGCCAGCGTGCCTGTAGCTTGCCTGCGTGTAGCCAGCGTGCCTGTAGCTTGCCTGCGTGTAGCCAGCCTGCCTGTAGCCTCCTGCCAGCTGACTAGCGCCCGTAGAACTGACTTGCCCGTCCACAGATCGCGAGACTTGAAATAATCAATGAACCAACACATGCCTACACGCACCGTCTTAAGCTTGAGTTGTGGGAAACACTGGCTTTTTTAAACCGGCTTTTTTAACCGGCTTTCTTTTAGCTTGGTTGGAAATTCTGGCTTTTTAAAAACCTGCTTTCTTTTCCTGTTTTTCAAAACCCTGGCTTTGTAAATGGCTTTTTATGTATGAATACGAATCTACATTTAAGAAAAATGGTACGCACTAGTCCACTATTTCTTCATTTCGCTATAAAACATCTAACGTTGTTTTTTTTCGTCTATTGGCGTCTCTAAAAATATTTAATGTAAAATGACAAAGTACTATCATATGAAAATTTCAGTGCTCTCTCTATATCTCTCTTCCTTTCTCTCTGCGTCTCTCACATCCCCCCCCCCCAACCCTACGATATTTTGTAGACTTGCATATGTTTGTATGTGAGTACCACGTATAATTTAATACGTCACACACCTGGCCGTATAATGTTCCATGTACTGAGTGGCTTGGAAAACGAGGCTGAGTAATCATATCCCTCATTTAACGGTTTAACGATGCCAGTATGACATTTCTGACTTCTGGCTCCAGTCTACTAGTCCAGTGTAGTTTAGGTCCGATGCTTTAGTATGGTAAATACATATGGTATCACACATTATACTTTGAATCTCTGTTATCCCAATGAGTTCTTTAAATATGTTATCCCAATGAGTTCTTTAAATCTGTTATCCCAATGAGTTCTTTAAATCTGTTATCCCAAAGAGTTGTCCTAATCTGTAATCCCAATTAGTTATTCTAATCTATAATCAAAATTAGTTCTAATTTGTAATCCCAATCATTTCTAATTTGTAATCTCAATTATTTCTACTAATTTGTAATCTCAATTATTTCTCCTAATTTGTAATCTCAATTATTTCTCCTAATTTGTAATCTCAATTAGTTCTCCTAATCTTTTATCCCAATCAGTTTTCCTAATCTCTAATCCCAATTAGTTCTCTTAATCTGTTATCCCGATCTGCCATCGCAATCTGTTTGCCTAATCCACGATCTACAGACCTTGCTCAATGAAAACATGGGTTCCAATCGCCTTCGTCTGGTAGCCTGATAGATAGCCGAGTGTTTGGGTAAAAGGAAACAGGCACACATCTACACTTTTACAAGGAATGGCTAGACCCCCCCCCACCCCCACACTACGCTGCTGTACCCTGTCAGGTAAATCGAGTTTGAAAAAAAAAATTTAAGAGGTAAGAAGAATCTTAGAAACCGGAAATCGATAATTTGAACGTCCTACACATAGATTTAAAATATCAGGATTTGGAGGGTTGGTTTATGCATGTGTGGTGTGAGGTGACTTTGGTAAACAATCTATTAGGGATGTCTAAATGACATGAAATAGGTAAGCTTACAGAAGAAAGGTGGTTTTCTACATATACACACATATACAGACATACATACTGATACACACAGACATTATATATATATATATATATATATATATATATATATATATATATATATATATATATATATATAATCTTACGATAAACAACATAAATCGTACTGCGCAGGCGCAGAGGTTGTTAATGTCTGGCTTTAGCGTCTACCTCCATTCCTGATCCGTTAAGTAGGTTATGATGCACTCATCCTTTTCTTTTAATTCCTCAAAGTGACTTTGCCATCAAGTTGTCTACCTTACTCACTGCTGATCCGTGCACTATTATCCGCCCCTAATTCTATTAATAGCTTTTGGGAAAACTCCGCGATAGCCTAGAATACGGGCCAAATAAACTGTTCAATATCTTCCAGCAGTGATTCGTGTGTGTGCATGTATTGATAGGTGCATGTTAGATTGGGAACGTGCATCTGTTCCGTATCTTGTGTAGGCTGAGATGCTTTAAAAGCGCAGTGCTGTAATTTAGGAATTCTTGGAGAAAATAAAATGGTCTCTTAACGTGAACTAGAACAAATACATTGTTGTAACTATCAAATTTGAACTAGAACAAATACATTGTTGTAACTATCAAATTTGATCTAGAACAAATACATTGTTGTAACTATCAAAGTTGATCTAGAACAAATAAATTGTTGTAACTATCAAAGTTGATCTAGAAGAAATACATTGTTGTAACTATCAAATTTGATCTAGAACAAATAAATTGTTGTAACTATCAAAGTTGATCTAGAAGAAATACATTGTTGTAACTATCAAAGTTGATCTAGAACAAATAAATTGTTGTAACTATCAAAGTTGATCTAGAACAAATAAATTGTTGTAACTATCAAAGTTGATCTAGAACAAATAAATTGTTGTAACTATCAAATTTGATCTAGAACAAATAAATTGTTGTAACTATCAAAGTTGATCTAAAACAAATACATTGTTGTAACTATCAAATTTGATCTAGAACAAAACAAAACTGTCGGTTGATGTAACTTTGGAAAGATCAACCAGACTTAAAAGAAAGAACATAAGTCGTGTCTAATTTTCATTTTTCTGCTTAATACCTGGCAAATTACCAATTTTTACATTGCGAAATTTCCGTACGTATTTACTAATCCGCGGTGATTTAAATAAATTTACTTTCATCAAAGTTAAACGGCTAATACATTATTTTTACATAACTAACTTTAATGGTATTACTGTATAAATCTAATTCTGGTTTCGTTTTAGAAATAATGAATTTTCAGCATAAAATAAAATTGTGTATTGATTAGTAATTTTTTGCTTGAAGCTCTTGTGAGTATATACATTTTAATAACCCGACATCTGTAATGTTTATGTGTAGCATAACCGTTTCTTGTCTATTTTCACAACTATTATTTCTAGCTTTTTTTTACGTTTATATTTCACGTAACATTACTAGTAGATGAACGTACATTTCTGTTTCTATTTGTGAAATCTTTACATCAGCTAAAAAGAAACGTTGAACAAAAACAAAACGTTTTACTGGGCTAGTTATGAAAAAGGTGAAAAAAAAATCTATGTGCGTAATCGTGACGGCCCACGGTAGCGCTGGTATTGATCTCGCCAGGGCTAATGGAATGTGAGCACGCTTAAGGAATCGATACCACATACATTAGATTACACGAGAGGTCAATACTCGCCCGTCCTGCGGGTGTGTGTCCTCGGCAGTGTGAACACTGTGGTGAGCGTGTAGGCTACATACGGAGTTATTGTTCTTTGCTAGTGGATACAATAGCAGACGTGAAGGAGCAGACATGTGCGGTGGGGGTAGGTGTGAGAAGTGAGCAGTGACTCGCGTGAATTATTGCGATTGTTGTTTTCAAACACGAAACGGGATTTGGTCTTTTTTTATCAATACGGTAAGTCGTCTCTTGATTTAATATTGTAGTGTTTTTGGTTTTTGTATAGAGATCAAATATACGCTGGACAGAAGGATTTGACACGATGCAAGCTACTCTGTATTTGTTTAATTTACTTTTTTAGCTAAATGATAGGAACACATAACAGATTGATGAAGTAGATCGCATCTCTGATTTATTTAAAAAAATAGGTTGTAACGGGCAGTATCAACTGTTGAAATTAGTTGAACTACAGATAGTTTGTGAAACATTTGGTGGTCGCATACACATACATACACACATACACACATAGACACACACACATAGACACATACATAGACACACATAGACACACACATAGACACACATAGACACACACATAGACACACAAACACACACATAGACACACACATAGACACACACATAGACACACACATAGACATACACATAGACACATCCACACAAACACACAGAGACACACAAACACACATAGACACAAACACACACATAGACACAAACACACACATAGACACAAACACACACATAGACACACACACACATAGACACACACACACATAGACACACACACACATAGACACACACACATAGACACAAACACACATAGACACATACACACATAGACACATACACACATAGACACACACACATAGACACACACATAGACACACGCATAGACACACGCATAGATAAACACATAGACACACACATAGACACACACCTAGACACACACATAGACACACACATAGACACATCCACACAAACACACAGAGACACACAAACACACAGACACAAACACACATAGACACACACACACATAGACACAAACACACATAGACACATACATACAAACACACACAAACACACATAGACACACACATATATACACATACACACAAACACACACATACACACAC